GGGGGGGGGGCAATCATGTACAGATTTATGTAACCTCTAAAAAAGATAGATCACATTCCTCTTCCGAATGAAAAGTTTAATCCATAAACAATAAAAGGCACATTTACCTAGTTTAATAGACTCAGACAGTCTGGAGCAGTCGTACTTGTTCTGGCATGAGCAGAAGCTCATGGTGGCTTACAGTAGAAAAAGACCTGGACCTGACATTGTACCGACTGGTTGACTTTCAAACAGGAATTTTCCTGGAAATTTCCAGAGCTATATTACATCACAAATGTTTGAGTAATTTTCTGGAACTTTTCCTGTGATCCCCAAATGAAACTCTTCTGTATAATAGTATAATTTCCATAGTAATTAAGGAGAATCCAATGTGACAACACAGCAGGGGAGGTTGATGATGATTCTAACACGAGAAACACACAAAAATGTCAAATGTCAAAAACAAATATCTCTGACACACACACAGAACACACAGATGAAGATGTCAAGAGAGTTTGTGGTGATAAGAGCCGACACTGTGTGTTGTCAAGATAATCACGTGATCTCCGCGGCGGAGTTAATACGTCACGTCCACCTCTCGCCTGAATAATGCGGAGGATTAGTTGCTGTTGTGAATATGTCTGTGCAGAAAACTTCCCGTTGTGTTGTGCATGTGTGAAAAGCAAACTCTGGGTAAAGTCCAATTCTCCAGATTTTACCTGCAGGATATATCTGAATGTGCCTGTTGATTAGATATATTTATCTTTTCTTTAATGTGTGGCTTTGATCAAACAGATCATTCCTCCTGATGGCCTTTGCTGTGAACTAAATTCACTTCTCAGGTGATAGTTTGTGTGTGTGATACACAAAGAGACACATTGTTTAGTTTTTACATCCTTTGGCCATTTGTGACGTTCCCATAAAGTCTGGGCCCTCCTCCTCCTCCTCCTTCTCCCTCCCTCCCTCCAGAGAGGAGAAGTCTTTTCCACAGGTCACCGGTCTCGACAGACAAAAGCGCCTGATCTGATCCGGCCCCGGCTCCACTCGGCCTCTACGCTGCTTCACTCTTGGGTGTAACATTAAACCTGGTCCCTCCCGAGCCAAACTTAAGAAGAGGCCGTATTTACTAACGACCCCTCTGGTCTTCGCCTCATTTCTCCTCGACCCTCAGTAGAGAATGTGCACGTGTATAACTTTAACACTCAACACAAAACCCAACACGTCTCTGGAGTACTTTGTGTAGTGTAAACACACATCTGGAAGTATTGTGTAAAGTCTTTCCCCTCCAGCCTCTCCGTTGTTCCTTTCTTTCATCCTCTCATTCTCTCTCTGTCTTTATCACTATCTCTGACTATCTTCCCCCCCCCCCTCTCTCTCTCCCAGCTCATTCCAGCTCTTGCGACCTCTCCCTCGCCCCTCCCCCTGCTGGCGGAGCTGCAGTCGAGGTGGGTGTTCTCTGGCTGTTATGACTTGAGAGACGATAATGGCAGCTATAATGTAGCCAGCCGTTCCTGATGTGGCTGGGCTTGTGGGAGATTCTGTTGTGTTAGGGCTGGAGACGGATTGAGGGAGGGAGGGGAGGGGTGGGGTGGATTGGGGGGGTGAGATGAAGGCGGGGCTCAGGCCCTCAGCCAACCACAGTCCAGATTCTACTTCATTTTCTTTTTCGTCTCCCCCCCACCCAACTCTCTTCTGTCCCCTCTCCTCACCCACTGACTTTTTTCGAGCGCAGTTGTTTTCGTTCGGTGGTAAACTTTGTTTTCAGATTCTGCCTTTGCTTTTGTAACCCCCCCACCCACCCAACACAGACTCTCCCCCTCCTCCCCTGCTTT